GGGGGGGGGGGGGGGGCTGCACAAGACTGTTTAAAAATACATTTTAAAAAAGCACCTCTTGCAGGAATATACATTAGGCTATTTAAAAAAAACCCCAACTCCACAAGGTATATGATTACCTGCCTAACTAACCAGCACTGGGATTAAGGGGTTGATTATGATGATGATGATGATTAGTTTCTCATTTTATTTGAGAAAAGTTTAAGGCTGGGATGAGGGGGAGGGGTTCTTTTGCTGTTCATTTTATTTCTCCTGGGCCATCCTTATCAGGCGGAGAATATTTGAGTTTTTATCCATGAGAAAGGTACATTATAGCAGCGTAAAGCACAACATAAAACATAACTTAAAAAAAAAACAACACCCAACAATTATATCCACAGTAACTCTTTATCTCCCAGATCCTTCCAGATTCTTTACCAAAACAGTTATTTGAGGTATTTCTAGCGTATTTCTCCATTTCTGTATATGACAAACGTTTACTTCGGGCACACTCAATGGGGCTGAGTCTAGTTTCACACTCAGCTATGGATAGCTGAAAATGGTTATCAATTATAGTCATTATGATCATAATTAGATTAATGAACCATGTATAGCCCGACCTACCAAGTGCAAAAACTTCACTGCCTAGCCACTGACGTTGCACACTAAAAAGCGGGGTTTATGTAAACAAATCCAGATTAGGGGAGAGGAAATCTAGGGAGAAACCTCACCCTGGGCTAGATTAAGAACCAGCGTGTATCTTTCAATCACAGAAAAACCCTCATCACACGGGAACCACCTCTGGATTTTCACATCAGGGAAAAAAAAAACCAGCCCTGAGACTATTGCTCCCTTCAGGGGTCTGATGGCAATACAAAGGGTGCCCCCGAAAGCTCCAGGCTAAACACAGTCTTGTGGAGAGACGTGAAAAATTTGCATCTAGCAAAAAAACCCAAGCCAAAACAGAAAACCCTCCAGGTTGTATAAATGAAACTGTAACCGCCTGCCCATAATAACAACTACTCAATAAAACTAGTTTTGCCAACCATGTGTAGGAAATGCACGCATCTGGCAAGGAAAAGGTGGGTTGGGGGGGGAAGCCTTTTATTTAAAATGGGAAACAGCACATGCATTTTATGCCCTATTTTCACTGGATTATAGTGGCTTTTCTCCACCAAAGCTTTCTTTGCTTGCCTACCTCTTCACCCCCCCCTTCCCATTCCAAGGTTTACTGCCACCAGAAACGAGAAAGTAATGGTGCCCACCAACCAGGTCATTATTGTTTAATCGATGCGTCTCTGGAGCATGAAAAGGGTACCCAAGACATAGTTATTGATTTTTTTTTTTTTTTTTTTTTT